AAATATTCTCGAATTTCTGTTTTTTGGTTAACATCCGAATTTTCTTTTTTCTAGAATTGAACCATAAAACAATTAAGGTTTGTCCAGCGAGGTTATCGGCATTTAATCTTTTAATGTTTTAGTCCTGTGAAGTTTTATTTTGGTGTTCCTGTCAGCATGTGTATATATGCGTGCGTAAACTACGAGGAATTCGTAAACTTTACGCACATACACACTATCCCAAAGTCATAAACACATATACACACATATTTACCAAGTACATGGAACACACACACACACACACACACACATACAACTTTTATAAATAATAAATGTATGTATATATATATATATATATATATATATATATATATATATATATATATATATATATATATATATATATACAGGGGTTGGACAAAATAATTGGAACAGTTGCAAACTCCACTCCTATATTTCAAAGACCTATTATATTAAGAACTTTAACTAAAACTTCCTAATTGCAGGTTATATCTATTGTAAATACGTTTATTTATCTAATTTACTGTTTTTTTCTTATTTATTTTTAGAATTTAGTAAACTTTAAGCTAATGCGTGACCTCTCCGAGTTCGAAAAAGGGCAAATTGTTGGAGCTCGCATGGCAGGAGCCTCGATCACTAAGGTGCTGAACTGTTTGGTTTTTCAAGAGCTACCATATCAAGAATACTGATGCAATTCGAGAAACACGGCAAGACCTCTAGCAACCGTAGCAATTCGGGCCGAACTTGCAAACTTACTGACAGGGACTGACGTACATTGGTACGCAATGTGGCAAAAAATCATCGGACAAATGCGGCTAAAGTGACTGCTGAGTTGAATAACCATCTGAATAGTTCAGTTTCTACTAAAACTGTTCATCGTGAGCTCCATCAGGCTGCATATCATGGAAGATCCGTTGTGAGGAAACCTCTTCTCTCCACTTACAACATTCAAAAGAGGTTGAAGTGGTGCAGAGATCACAATGCCTGGTCTGCAGACCCATGGAAGCAAGTCATATTCTCAAACAAGTCCAGTTTTTCTCTTTTCCCAACTTCAGGGCGAGTTTATGTGTGGAGGCAGTCCAAAGAAGCTTAAAACCCTGACTGCCTTCTTCCAACAGTGAAGCATGGAGATGGATCAGTGATAGTTTGGGCTGCCATATCATGGAAATGTCTCAGTCCAATAGTTTCCCTGCATGGTAGAATAAACAGCAAAGATTACCTGAACATTTTGGGAGATCATGTTCATCCAATGGCTAAGACTTTATTCCCTGATGGTGATTGCATCTTCCAAGACGATAATGCTACAATACATACCGCTCGAATGATTAAGAATTGGTATGAAGTGCATGAAAGTGAGCTAGAACACATGGAGTGCCCCCCGCCAATGTCAAGATATCAATATTATTGAACATTTGTGGTGCATTTTGGAGCAACAAGTTAGGAGCCGCTATCCTCCACCGTCGTGTCGTAAAGAGCTGGAGAAGGTTTTAATGGAAGAATGACTGAAAATTCCTCTGAATGAAGTCAGGAAGCTGTATGATTCCATTCCTAGACGTATTAAGGCTGTCTGTGTGGCTAAAGGAGGACCAACTCCATATTTTCTTTGAATTTAACAAGAGTTCCAATTATTTTGTCCAACCCCTGTATATATATTGACCACTAATATTATCTATCTATCTATCTATCTATCTATATATATATATATATATATATATATATATACATAGTAACCTAAACCGCCAGTATGACTCAGAGTTTCATGCTCGTAAAGCAAAGATCAGTACCTGATGATTGCGTTAGTAGCTTGAATCACTGAGTCGTACTTGCGGCGTAGTGTACTATGTATTTTTACTTATATATACTTTATAGATTTGTTATTTAGCATTGGGCACTGCTTTTCTTACACCAAATGATATATGCTTGTATTTATATGTGAACACTTACACGTACATTTATTTATATTTATTCATCTGATTATTATAATGGTACCTCCATGAGATCGTTAAAAAAAGAGCATAGCATGATGAAAAAGACGCCAAACCTGACGAAAACAAAATTTTATCGTCTAATGTTTATGTTATTATTAAGAGGAATGATCAACGCATTTTTAATGATTTAAAAAAAAAATATTCTTTTTAGAACATTCTAAATTTTTATTAAAAAACCTTGTTTCTCCTTGTATCAGCGGAACTAGTAAACAACATATACATTTTTAGCACGTTATTTTTGTATGACAGACATTAATTTGGAAAATCTTGCAAAAATAAAAATAATTGTTGGATGTTAATAAAACTTTCAGAAACTATTCACAAATGATAGAAATTATTATAAATATGTTTTCTTTTTTTAAAGTTATGGAAAAAATAAGTTTTTTTATATTTAATATCTCTCCCCCATGAATAATTTTATGATAACTCTAGAAATTCAGTTCAGTCGCATTCAGTTTAGTGATTATATTACTTAAACGCACAAGGCTTTGAAGAAAGCAAATCATGTATTGTTTTACTTGAAAATCAGCTCTGAATACAAAACTCAATAAAACAAAGATATTATTTAATTTCAAATGTTTTTATTTCTTTTTAGTAGGTTGTTAAAATATTATAAAATTAGTGAAAACGACATTCAGTTTCGTAAATGGCCTTATGAGATAGATCTTCTTTTACAGCATTGTAAATTTTTTCGCTTTGACCAGTCAGAAGACACGCACTAATTAAGAAATGTAATGTTGTGTTTATAAAACGGCTGTAATTAAAAAGTATGGAAGACCAGCAAGAATAAAATTAAGTCGCGTTATTTGAGTTAAGCAATGATCTCCGCTGTTCGGGCCTTTATTTTTGCGGAGTAGTTAATTTGATTTTACAATTTCAATTGAGAAGGGTACCTACAAGTATTAGTATCACCTTATGATATTTCGGCTAGATTGAAAAAAAAAATTCTTACAAAAAAAGTGTTGAAACTACCAGCGTCTCTCGTTTCATGCGCATATATCGTCGTGGCAACGTCATAAAAGCCCAGTCCAATAAAATCCTAAAGGATAAAACGCGTCACACAAAAACAAAATCTTTCCAGTTTGTCATTTTTTTCTAAATAATCTTTGTTGATATATAAAATTATAGAAAATTATATAACGGTATAGAGACATTATCAAGGCAATGTAGGGTTTTTGAAAAGGGAACATAATTTTTACATTTGTTTAGCAAAATAAAATCCTCACTTTTACTTTGATAAAGTCCGCCATAGGGCTAACCGGGTCGGCTAAGTAGTGTTTTTCTTCTTTTTTATTTCACAGATACACTCTAGCTGAGAGAATTTACACACAGACACACAAGTACACACACACACACACACACACACACACACACACACACATATATATATATATATATATATATATATACATATATGTAATAATAATAATAATGGACTCTCCCGTCGGTTTCGACGTATGAGGATCTGACAGCTTAACTGATTCAGTTATGAGATTTTGTGCGATAATCTTTAGTGGCATTTAAGACCAGTTAGTGATTTATAAAGGAGGCCGCACATGGAGCAAGAGTGAGGATTGTGGGATGAGATTACTGTTAGATTGGCTGACCTTTTAGATCTTGCTTTCGCTTCTTGAAGATGATTCAGACAAGCTGATTGAAAACTGCTGAGTCCACTAAAACATGTTGATCTACATTCTACCCGACCCAATGTAATATATATATATATATATATATATATATATATATATATATATATGAAGAAATATAGTTTTAATATATGCTATATTTATGGGATAAAGTGCTCAATGTCAAGGAAACAAGCATGTGTAAATATAAAAGTGACATTGAAGTCAACAGAGGCGACACTCTGTTTCAGGCCTGACGATTGCGTCTAGCATGAAACAGCACAAAACAGACTGTCGACTTCTATATTCACTTATATATATATATATATATATATATATATATATATATATATATGGGGTTAGACAAAATAATTGGAACACTTGTTAAATTCAAAGAAAATTTATTTAATATGGAGTTGGTCCTCCTTCAGCCTCACAGACAGCTTTAATACGTCTAGAAATGGAATCATACAGCTTCCTGACTTTATCCAGAGAAATTTTTATATATATCATATATATTTATATATATAGCGAATTAAATAAACACTAAGGTAAATTGTTTAAAATTGCCCAATCTCAAGCTAGAATAAAACAAACCAGTAGAGCGATTTAATATCCTAAATAAAACGCTGAATGGAACACTAACGCAGTTTCGACCGCCTATGTCTCATCAGATGGTTAACTAGGCGAAATCATATATATATATATATATATATATATATATATATATATGTGTGTGTGTGTGTGTGTGTGTGTGTGTGTGTGTGTGTGTGTGTGTGTATATAAATAAAAAGAAAGAACAGTAAGATATATAATCCGGTGTTCTTATAGGTATTTCTATTTTTACAAAATAGTGCTCAATGTAAATTTACAGAGCATTAATATTATAAATTAATTGATTTAAAATATTTTTTTCCGCTACACAGTTCTAACCATGTTTCAAAAATGGAAGCTAAAAGCCACGAATTTAATTTTGTAATTAAATTAAAGACATTAGTTCCATTTCATCCTCAAGCGAATTTTGGAGTAACTTTTAAAATTACTGGGTTTTAAAGACAGCTAAAATCACGTTTCCATGGTTACAGATAAATCTACTTCAACTGGACAAGGGGTGTCTGGGTTTTCCTTATGTCTGCATCATTGTATAGGTTATTAGCTACATAAGGAGTAGGGATGTATTTTTCAATGAAAACTGACTGCATCGTGCCTCTAAAACGTTGTCTATCTTATTTAGTGAGTTTGGATGAGTGTCGCCAAAAGGTTAAAAAATCACCTGTAAAACGCACCGAGTCACCTGACATCAAGCAGAAATGAAGGAACAGGAAGGAAAGCCACACCCACCCACAAAAAAGATAGCAAGAGAGTCAGAAAAAAGATGCAGCATGACAGAGAGAGAGAGGGGGAAGAGGAAGATAAGAAAGGAAAGAAAAAGAAAGGAAAAGTGAAGGCGCCGTGAAGAAAGAGTCGAGAGAGAGAGAGAGAGAGGGGGAAATAGAGAAAAAATGGCTAGAAGCGAGAGATTACAAGTCGATCAAATTGAGGATGATAGAGAGCTTTTTTTAAAAAAATCATTTCACCCAGTGCAAGGCAATAAAGCCACTAAGACGCAAATAGGGTAAACTGAATGTGAAAGAATATAAGAAAAAGAGAAACATTATTAAGGAGAGATAAAAATAAAAGAATAGGAATAAAGAAGACAAAAGATAACGATTGACTTTGCATTTAAATTTTTGAAGATCATATTTGACTGTGAAGCAAGAATCCGGAAGAGAATTTCAGAAGCGGGAATTTGATAGAAGAAACTGTTAGAATAGAACTTACGGTTACATCTAGTCATTTCAACTGTAAAATGATGAGACCTAGCTGCCAATCTAGTGCTGATCTTAAATTCATAAAGTCTGGGTGCCACAGTGGAAAGTTCCGATCAATTACCATGAAAGTATTTATAGAAAAGGTACAGGGATGCTACGTTACATTAGTGGGAAAGTGACTGAAGCCGAGATGCAGGATCAAGACCAATACAATTGCAGATTCTTTTTGGAGTTTTTATCAAGGACCACTACATATACAGCAAGAGCACCAGACCAGATATGGTAGACGAATTCTTAAAGACTGTTTTCTTTTTTTGTTCTTGTCAATATTTTTTCTTTTATCTTTGAGTTCTTTTTTTTTAATTATTTCACACGAAGCAAGGCAATAAAACCACTAAGTCTGAATATGAGAGAATGTGAAAAACGAGACACTATTAAGGAGACATGAAAATGAAAGAACAAAAAGATAGTAGATATCGATTGATATTGCATTTAAAATTTTGAAGATCACTGGTGCGAGAGAAGAAACCATTAGCATAGAACTTACGGTTGCATCCAACCGTTTCAAATGTAAAATGATGAGATCTTTCCGCCAATCTAGTACTGCGCTTAAATTTATAAAGTCTTGGTACTATAGAGGAAAGTTCATTTGAACAATTACCATGAAAGTATTTATAGAAAAGGCTCAGTGTAGCTACATAAAAAAGAAGGGTTTGGGGAAAGATAGAGAGAAAAAAGCGAGAGAGAAAGAGATAGAGAGATCATGAGTTTGCACTATTAAAATTTATTTTTCGCTCTAAGGATCATAGCCATTTACCATCCATTTTTTAAATCTCGGATATGGGCAAATATGGCTCTCCATAACTTCCTATCTTTTGTGTCACAAAACGACGTTTGTCTCCTAAATATCTTCCCAGACTGTTTTTTATCATCTATCAAAATGGAGTATTGCCGCTTTTTCTGATCTGGAAAAGCCTAATTTTTTTTTACATTCTTGACAGATTTAAAAATATGTTTGCGCAGCCTCTAGGGCGATTAAATATTTTCCACCCTACTACGCATTTCCGCACAGACGAAAAGATGCAAGCCTCTATTCTATGGCTATATCTATGGCAAATGTTCTGCCGAGCTATATTCCTTAATCCGACAGTTCGAATTTTTAAATCTAAGACCATGCCATGTACACAGAGTCAAATCATCGTCATTTCCTTCGTATTCCATTAGTTAGGAGGAAGTTTCACCCTGACAGCTTATTCCGAAAAGCTGCTATTTTGTGAAACAGACACCCGATAGGATGCTTTCCCGATAGCTGCAATCTTAATTTCTTCAAGTCTAGGAACAATCATTATCCATCCTATCTATCCACATAGTCTGCAACTCCTTTTCTTTCGTTCATAAAACAGCCTCAATCAGTAACCCTCTACCTTGAGTATCTCTCGGGGCTTGTTTTTATTGAAAAATAGTGTAAAAAATTTAAGTAGATTACTCACTGTTTTCACATGCTTTCTTACCTTATTGGCATTAAATTCTCCAAGCCCTCTTTCTTCGATTTTCTTTATGTGCCGTTTCCCCTCAGGACGCAGGCAATCATGGCTCTTCACGACTTCCTTTTTCTTGTGACGCTTAATAAACTTTGTCACTTTGTCATTCTGTTATTTCTCCTAAATTTTGTTCCGACGGCTTACATCACATTGAAACACTTCTTCCCATACGTTCACTGAAGTTAAGCAACGCCAGTACCTAAATGGGTGACCGTTTGGAAATACCAGCTGCTGTAAACTTGGAAGTGTTGGTGGTGTAATGAATAATGGCTCGGAATTGTTAATCGGAGAGCCGAGTGCCAATTCCAGTTGCAAATACCCTTTCGTGCAAATACCCTTGGGAAAATTATGAATCCACCTCTTCTCCTCCCAGCTATGGGCTAATTAGTAAGACTTGTGTCACTAAAACCATTATTATCCAGAAACAAATAATATTGCGTAGAAAATATTTAAAATTCGGCATTAAATAACCCATAGAGGTGTTGATATGCCGCTAAACAAAAACAACAAACCAAACCAATTTGTTCCTCGATTCATTTAGTGAAGTGAAGTATCTTATTTTTGTTTTCCTCTGTCCCTCTTGCTCTGTATCTGCCCCGTGTGTATCAGATTTCCGAAGCCTTCTTTCTTCATTATGTGCCACAGAAACCTCAACAGTATCTTACTGATGTTAACTATTAGTTTCCTTTTTGTTTCCATTTTCTTCAACAGCAAGACCTCTGATCGGGAGGCTTTGAGGAGCGTGGAACCACCTCTTAATTGACCCGGGGTGGCAGCACCTGTTAGGGTCCCAGCTATGGGCAAATAGTTAACCCCGAAACTGAGACTACATCCACGTCCAGGGTAAGACGATAAACTACGTCCAACAGCAAGGCCTCTGATCAGGAGGCTTTGAGGAACGTGGGACCTCCCCTTAATTGCTGGTGTTCCCAGGTCCACCCTGACCGGGTGTGGTAGCACCTATTAGGGTCCCAGCTATGAGCAAATAGTTAACCCAGAAACTGAGGTAAAATGCATTATAAAAGTGTAAAAATAGGTTTTAATACCAGAAAAAGTTTATAAAAAATTATTACAAGAAATAAATTTTTGAAGAAAAAAATATTACCAGCAATACGTTTTTGAAAAAATATTACCAGCAATACGTTTTTGAAAAAATATTACCAGCAATACGTTTTTGAAAAAATATTATCAGCTTCACGTTTTTGAAAAAATATTACCAGCAATACGTTTTTGAAAAAATATTATCAGCTATACGTTTTTGAAAAAAATAATATTACCAGCTATATGTTTTTGAAAAAATACTATTACCAGGTATACGTTTTTGAAAAAAAAATACTATTACCAGCTTTACGTTTTTGAAAAAATAATATTACCAGCTATACGTTTTTGAAAAAGATAATATTACCAGCTATATGTTTTTGAAAAAAATACTATTATCAGCTATACGTTTTTGAATAAAATACTATTACCAGCTATATGTTTTTGAGAAAATACTATTACCAGCTATACGTTTTTGAAAAAAATACCATTACCAGCTATACGTTTTTGAAAAAATACTATTACCAGCTATACGTTTTTGAAAAAAATACTATTACCAGCTATACGTTTTTGAAAAAAATACTATTACCAGCTATACGTTTTTGAAAAAAATAATATTACCAGCTATACGTTTTTGAAAAAAATAATATTATCAGCTATACATTTTTGAGGAAAGAAATATTAACAGAATCAGATTTTTGACAAAACATTTTTGTTTTGTCAAAAATCTGTTTCAGTTAATATTCTGTAACAACTACCAGAAAAAAAGTTGTCGGCATTAAATAACCCATTGAAGTTGATATGCCGTAAAACAAAACAAACCAAACTAAACTAAACCATTTTCTTCAAAACTCCGTCGTTGTTTGGTTGAAGGTATACTCAGCATCCTTCTGTAGAACCACATTTCTGTCGCTTCAAGTCTTCTCTTCATCTTTGGGTAGATTGCCCAGCACTCACCGCCAATACAGGAGGGAATCGTTTAGCACACCTTTTTTTTTTCTCGTTGCTTACATTTTCTGTCCCTGATGACCCACGGGCTGAAGGTAAATAACAGTAAAAAATATACAAATATCTTTCGGTATTGACTTTTGCAGATAAATGAAGGAAGCGAACTAGATCCCCGTTCATCAGCTCGAACTTGGGCCAACCCCGTTTATGACAACTTCACTTGTTAAAGAACCAACGCCTTTACTAGTTAGGCCATAACACCAACCCCGGCTGCTTCTTTCAGCATTGGCACGAGATTCGAGGTCCGGCGTCTGGTGTCTGGTCCGTATATTTAGTGGATCAGGTCATGAGGGACAGAAAAAAGCCGGTGCGGGGGGGGGGGTCTCTAGAGAAGAAATGTTGGGGACTGCATGAGAAGAAATCAGAATTTGCTGGTTTCTTTTTTTTTTTTTTTTTTGGTACATTTTTTAATTGTCTGTACAGAAATAGTTTCGAAGAGGTCATCCGGTGCAAACAGATTATGGCGCTTAGAGACATCCGTAACTTAAAACGAAAGCGGGGACCCGAAAGAGACTGAAATGAAGTAAGGACTGGCATAGAAAGAAAAAAGAAATAAGAAAGAAAGAAAGAAAGAAAGAAAGAAAGAAAGAAAGAAGTGTTGAAATATGTCAGTAAATAAATAACTAAAACGCATAGAAAGAAATATAGGGAAAGAAAGTACAGGAATAGGAAAGAAGAAAGAAAGAAAAAAGAAAGAAAGAAAGAAAGAAAGAAAGAAAGAAAGAAAGAAAGAACGAAAGAACGAAGAGTAGGAATAAATAAAAAAAATAGAAAGAAATTATAGGAATATAAAAAAAAAGAAAGTAAAAACAAGAAAGAAAAAGCAAAGAAGAATAAAAAGAAAGAAAGAAAAATTAAAGAAAGAATGTAAAAGAAGAAAGAAAGATTTAAGGAGAGAAAGAAAGAAAGAAAGAAAGAAAGAAAGAAAGAAAGAAAGAAAGAAAGAATTGTCGGAATAAATAAATAAAATGAATAGAAATAAACCCAGAGAAAGAAATTACAGGAATGGAAGGCAAAAAAGGATAAAGAAAGAAAAATTAAGTAAAAGAAGAATACAAAGAAAGAAAGAAAGAAAGAAAGAAAGAAAGAAAGAAAGAAAGAAAGAAGTGTTGGAATAAATAAATAAAATGAATAGAAAGAAAAATAGAGAAAGAATTTACAGAAAGAAGAAATAAAGAGTGAAAGGAAAAAGAAGAAGAAGAAGAAAAGGAAGAAAGAAAGAAAGAAAGAAAGAAAGAAAGAAAGATAAAATTTAGAAAGAAAGAAAGAATAGCAGAATAGAACAGAACGGAAATAAAAAGAAAGAAAAAAAATGAAGTAACGAAAAGAGTAGAAATAAAGAAATGAGTAAAATTATAGAGGGGAAAAAGAAAGAAAGGAAGAAAGAAAGAAAGAAACAAACAAACAGAAAAGAAAGACTAGATTTTCAAAAACTCCAAAATAATTGTGGTCTGAAGTGGGTTTTCATGTTGCCTGTTTTACCACTTCATGTCCTCGGCTAAATCTGATTGAATAAATACAGACTACTTCTCAGTAACTGCATTAATTCAAAATGTTTTTCTAATGAAAGTATTTTAAAGTAATTGAAAAAGATAGACTCTGTTACATCTAAACATGATGCTGTTTTTGCTCCGTTATAATAGAACACTTTTTTTGATCGACCAGCTGGGTATGCAGTAATTTTAGTGTGATTTTCAAGAAACAATGCAAATTTAAAACATTTTGTTTTATAATTTGCACCCAGCAGTATTATGGCGTTTACACTTTTGTCTATTTTTTGTTTTTAAAAGACTAGACTTTCTATGCAGTATTCAACTTTCCAAAACATTTAATTTTCATAATCAAATCTTACTAACATTAATATTATACATTTAACATTTTTGTAATTACAAGCCCGAAAAGTTATGGCCTTAACCAACTTTAGAAAACTTGCGCTGATAACCAAACAGCAGAATCGGAATTTTAATCAAAGAGCTGACCTGATATGTGACAACAGGGCATGGGCAAAAAATGGTGCATATATCATTTTATCCCGTGACTTCACCATGTTTTCTGTAGCCACATTAGAATTATGGTTTCTTGGGCAAGATTGCCTGACAGAGCCCAACCATCTCTAGGACGGTTTTGAATTCAAAGTTTTTCCTTCTCCTAGAGCGGTTGCCACCCAAGGTTATAGAACCCAGTCTGTCCTGCTATTTACCCATAGATTTAAGAATAGGATTCATAACTTTCACAAAGTTATTAGCACGTAAGTGAATGTAATGGTGAGTATATATAATTGATTAAATTTAGCTATATTATGATGTAATCTCTCTATATAAAATAGAGGTTACCTGCTTGTCTGTCTGTCTGTCTGTCTGTGTGATACCTTTTCATTCGAGATCCATCCAACCGATTTTGACCAAACTTGGCACATACATTGTACAATATAAATATTGTTTTTAGCGTAATAAATCGGTAATTTAAAAAAAAAATCAATAATCGATAAAGTTGATCTAAAATCGATAAATTTAACTTTTTTCTCCGATTTCATTCAAACCCGGTGTGTAGGTTACGTACATAATGACGAGCTCAACGATAACTTTATTTCTACGCCACTGCATTTAGCGAAAAACCACGTAAAGCGAAAAAACATTTTAAACTGAAAACTTCCTAAATTTTCAAGAAATCTAATACAAACTTCAGTCAATTTTAGCTAACAATAAGTTGATTGTTTAACAATCATTTAATTTGATAACTGAGTCCCCCATATAGTGAACAGCCACGTAAATAGCGAAAAATGGCGATTTTTAGTTGTTTCTTTCTTATTTTTCGTTGATCATTCAACCAATTTTCATCAAACTTAACAATTGGTTTATAAATATATCCTCTTTTACATCCCTGGTAGCGCACTGACAAATTGAATTTCAAAACTCCAAAATAATTGTGGTCTGAAGTGGGTTTTCATGTTGCCTGTTTTACCTCTTCATGTCCTCGGCTAAATTTGATTGAATAAATACAGACTACTTCTCAGTAACTGCATTAATTCAAAATGTTTTTCTAATGAAAGTATTTTAAAGTAATTGAAAAAGATAGACTCTGTTACATCTAAACATGATGCTGTTTTTGCTCCGTTATAATGGAACACTTTTTTTGATCGACCAGCTGGGTATGCAGTAATTTTAGTGTGATTTTCAAGAAACAATGCAAATTTAAAACATTTTGTTTTATAATTTGCACCCAGCAGTATTATGGCGTTTACACTTTTGTCTATTTTTTGTTTTTAAAAGAATAGACTTTCTATGCAGAATTCAACTTTCCAAAACATTTAATTTTCATAACCAAATCTTACTAACATTAATATTAAACATTTAACATTTTTGTAATTACAAGGGTCGCTAGGCCACCATGTTTTCTGTAGTCACAGTAGAAGTGGTGTTTCTTGGGCAAGATAGCCTAACGGGGCCCAACTCTCTCCAGGCTAGTTTTGAATTTAGAGTTTTCCATTTCCTAGACCTGTTGCCACCCAAGGCTATAGAACTGATATGTCCCGTAAAGGGATATATTTGAACGAAGTAGCTAAGTGGTTTTGGCTACTATAACCAAGTAAAATACGGTAGCAGTAATCGACTGGTACGCGTCGTAGTCACAGGTAAGAAGTGTGCATCAATGGCGTAGTCCAATGGGCGTCGTTATAGACTTAGCTCTCAGACTAAGGCTCTTTGACTCTTCTACACGTCCGTCTGTATTTATGACGGACACCAGCCAATCATATTCCAGTGAGGGGGAACACAGGTGTACGCATATTCTATTATATCAAGAACCTAGTCAGTTCTGCAATTTAGTAGCGTCGTAGGGTCACCACATGTACTGCAGCCAGAGTAGAAGTGGGGTTTCTTGGGCAAGATAGCCTAATGGAGCCCAACCCTCTCCAGGCCGGTTTTGAATTCATAGATTTTCCTTCTCCTAGACCGGTTGCCATCCAAGGTTATAGAACCCAGCCTGTCATGCTATTTATCCATAGATGGGTGGGAGGATTAAAGAATAGGATTCATACCTTTCCCAAAGGTATTATCACGTAAGTGAATGTAATGGTGAGTATATATATAATTGACTAGCAGTAGAGCCCGGCGTTGCCCGGGTATGTAACAGTAAGAGATAGATCAAGTATCGAGCATCATAAAGACTGAAAAATAAAATTGACAAAGATTATTGTTTAAGGTTGACGGACACGCAAGTCTTAATTAGTTTTTTTTTTTTTTTTAAGAATTGGTCAAACCCAAACTCAAACAAAAATATTGTTTTCAATCGTTATGAGTCTACCGATTGAATAGAATTTTATTATAAGCAACTGTCTTGTAAATGGAATTTTTAAAGCATTCTGAATGTAAAAATAAAGAAAAAAGTGTGCAAGACAATAAGAAACACGACCTGCCAAAAAAAGTTTTGTTGAAATCAGCTGAAAAATGTAGGAAACCCGATCCCATATATAAACGAACACACACACACACACACACAAACAAACAAACAACCTGGGTTTTATAATAAGTATAACTCGATATGAGTTGTCCAATTTTTCAAATTTTTGGCGCTGTCAGAACCACCGCAAGGTAATTTTACGCAGTCCTTTCAAGTTTTGTGAAATCGGTTGAAAAATGTAAGAATATATAAAAGTACACACACACACACACACACACACACACACACACACACACACACACACACACACACACACACACACACAATCTTCGTTTTATAATAAATAAGATTAAATGTATTTTTAAAGTATTTTTTGAAACACAAGAGTTATTTATGACTCAAATGAATCGTAGAGCAGATTGATTTTGGAAGCATGCTATTGCACTCAATTTAAAATCTTGGGTTTCACATGATAAATAAAGACACAGAAGGTTTTTTTTTTCCCTAAATCGTTATTGTTTTTTTTTTAGGAAACGAGTTTACAGCTCAGAAGACTGGCCTCCAAATCAACATCGGGAAGGCGGAAGTCATGAGGGTAAACAAAAGACAAGACTCAGTGCGACGACTACACCAAGAAGACATCAAGGGAGTCGATAAGTTTGTTTACGTGGGAAGCATCGTCTGTAAAGATGAGGGGAGAGATAAGTATATATTAGTCCTTTAAATATCTGGGAAGTGTCCAAACTGAGATCCGAAGATGTATTGGGATGGCCAAAGACGCATTCGAAAAGATCAGCAGATTATTAAGAGACAGGAAAGTTTCGTTGGAAATAAAGAAAAGATTGCTGAACTGTTAACTTGATACCTGTCGTCCTGGATGGCAGCGAATGTTGGGCAATCTTCTCAAAGATGAAGAAGAGTTTCGAAGCAATAGAAACAAAGAAAAGAATGCTGAACTGATTTATTGAAAAAATTAGGGATAATAATGATCTTCTGATACGTCTTACTATTTAATCCATATTTGGGAAAAGAAGACATGTATTCACACCTTTCTCAATGGTATTTGCACGTATGTGAATATAATGATCTCAGTGGGAATTAGAACTCTACTCTCCAATTTTTCATTCAGATCCACTATACCACAACGTTACTGTTAACAATCTTTAATTCACCAAGACAAAACATGTGCTTGTTAACACTCCCAAGCATTTATCCATTACACCACCCAGATATCCCTCATTAGAGCACCTGGTATTCCCGTAGGCACAAGCATCTAGGTACTGACCAGATTCAATATTGCTTAACTTCGGTGATCGAATCCGGAAATTGATTATATTATCTCCGTAGCTATATACTTCTAAAATCCCAATGATAGCGTGACTCTTTTCTTAATAAATTTCTTAAAATCTTTCTAAGCTTCTTCATATTTTCTAAATCCATATAAAATATGGAGACTTTTTTGTGCCTAAAATTCGTCCATAAATACTTCGATATTGGAAGAGTTTAAGGTTAAACGTGACACATTCCAATTCTCTAGGATACCTAGTTTTATATATATCATGGTTAAACTTCGTTTATTTGAATAGTTACCAATACATCACCGTTCCTACCCATACACACACACCCACACACATACACGCGCGTGCACACACACACACACACATATATATATATATGTACATTTCACTGTACATAAATGTAAATTGAATACGACAGGCAAGGTGGTTTTATTTAGTTGTTTTATACAATTTCTCATGGGATCTAAAAAATTTTTTCAGATGATAAATTATATAAAAACCGTCCGAATGTTCTTTTTATCCGATCGCTTTCGGCTATACATTTAGCCATTTTCAAGGATTAAATATTTTAACTGCTAAATAAGAAATAGTTTGTTGCATGTATGTTTTTACAAAATGTTTTCATTTTTCAGAACACGGTCAAGATATTGTGTCCATGTTCATAGTTATTAAGTGTTGTTTTAATTTTGGTTTATGAATAAGGCTTCCATTATTTTTAGCCT